GGTTTAGGGATTGTGGGTTTGGGGTTTGTGGGTTTGTGGATTTGGAGTTTGTGAGTTTGAGTTCGTATGTATTGAAGGTTTCTGAGCATGAAGTTTCTGAACTGCAATCAACTGTTTCACGTCTAAGGGATCCTTAGTAGATTTTCGCATATTAAGAAACTGATAAACTTCAACATGTGATATCTCAACGAAAAAAAAAAAAGATATTTGAGCAAACTCAACGGCATTCGAAAGAGGGAGCCTTGTACTTTTATACTATATGTATTTTTTTTAAAAAAAGAATAGATGGCATTACTACATAACCTCAAATATGAAGAAAAACAGTGTTTTTTTTGCACTTTTAGGTTAGGATATCTCAAAATTCTGACGTGATAGAGCAATTCTGCGTCCAGATTCGGATTCAGCGCACCAAAATCCTTCGGGAATGCATGCTAGTGTGTCTACTGAGTTTAACACAGGTCCAGAGGTCTCATCTACTGATATATGTTGGAACGGGCGAAGTAGTACAGTTGGGTAGAATTCTAGAAGTGTAAGTGTAGTTCGTTTTTAGCCCAAAAAATGCATGTTTTTGAGCCATTTTTCGCGAATATCTCAAAAAAATGATCATAAGCAAAAACGAAGGTAATTAAATAGCAAAGAGATTGCTTTTTTTATCTTTGTAGGTGGTATAGAACCCGAGTTATGACTCCCAGAAGTTGAAGTCAATTTCGAAGATAGCTATAATCGAAACATTCAACGTCCTGTAGCGGAAAAATTAAAGGTTTTTCGAGGAAAACTTATATAACACCTATTAAAGTTCTTGAAAAGACCTTCAAATAGAGTGGTGGTAGAAGTCTTTAGCATGAAAACTAATAAAGATACAATCAAAATAAAATGATTGTCTTGATTTTTGAGAAAAAAAATGGGTATTAAAATTATTAATGACTTGACGGAAAAAAATAATAAATGTATTCCTTCTGCAATTTACTTTATTTATGTGTTAACAGTAGATTCTGGAAATTTGAACGATTTTAGAAGCCTAAATTTAAAAAATATTTCATTTACTTTTGAATAAAATTTTTAATTTTTTAAAAAATCGCCTTTTTTCAAAATATTTTAGAAACTAACAAAGTTATTAAAAAAAATGATAGAATAAGAAATTGCAAGTCTTATCTTACTGAACAATTTGCTTTTTATTTTATGATAAAACTTATCGTTTAGCTGAAAATCGCGAAAACCCCATTTCTTGACCTTTGACCTCGAGTAAATTTTTTTCCGAGTACCGGAACGATGAGGAATTTTAATATGTTATTTTTAATTATGTTTTAAACAATTTTACTCACTTTCAGCTTGTAAATTTATGTACCGTCACTCTTATTTTTTGGTCTAATTTGACCGGACTACCACTGGAATAAACTTTTTTCCAAATGAGAAGAAAAGTACTTAGGTACAACTCTTAAACCTTGCTTACTTCATAAGCTTGTTCATTCTCGTGATAGTTACCTGCGCCTGTTTCCACTACATTGACGTACATCGAAAATGTCAGTGCACAGATGTTCCTTGCCTCGTTCAGATTCCTCCGGCCTCCACAAGCTGCCACCCAACGCCAGCCTCTGCAAGCGCCTGCTGCGTAGATTTCACAAACTGACCCTCCTCGATCCGGACAATTTCAGATGCAAGGCTTTCTATCATCACAAGTCTGCCATCTTGATCGACCAAAGGAAGCACGTCAGGGGCCGTTACAGGTACATGATTCATCCGTTCAGCACTCTCAACATGCTCCTGGAGGCGACGATTTGCGTTATCTGGGTGTCCAAGATGATAATATGCTCCATGATGGACAACATGCTGAAGGAGGTCAGGGTCATGCGGGCAATCGTCACTTATATTTTGAGCAGCATGCAAATTGCCATGATAATTTGCACTTTCTTCATCGGATACATTGACAAGGAGGGCAACGAGGTGATCTTGAAACAGAGTAGCGTCGCGAAGAGGTACCTGTCGTCGTATTTCTTCTTCGACGTGGTTACTACCGAAGTGTTCGATCCACTGTTCCGGATGTGTCTCGATAAGTACATGCCAGCAACGACCATCCAATGGCAGATGAAGTTCCTTTCCAGAATTATAGAAGTGCCCTGCCTGTACGTCAGGCTTTACAGCATCTTGGATTACGTTAGCAACACTGGGGAACTTCTGGGGATACCTCTCAAGATTCGGAAGTGCACAAACTACCTGCTTAAGACTTACCTGTACCTTCACCTCTTCTGCTGCATTTTGTACTGGGTGCCGCAGATGATATACCACGATGACTTTCCTTTGAACTCTTGGTTGGTTGTCGCCAAGATCAACCCACTATCGAACCCCACTCTATTCAAGGTGTACGGGGAGTGCATGCTGTTAACTGTTTGTTTCTTCTTCGGCGCATCTGCCGGTAAATACAGAATATCCGAGACCAATGAGCAAGTGTGCCTGAGTTTCATATCCCTCTTCGGCAGGCTGTACACTTTATTCCTCCTTGCCGACTTGCTGAGGTTCTTCGGCATCGTGGGTCTATCAGAGGCCAACTACGACAAGCAGATGCTCCAGTTAAGGGAGTACATGATGTCCAATGGCATCCCCAAGAGCCTAAGAACGAGGATGGTACGGTACTACGAGAAGAAGTTGCAGAAGCGTCACTTCAAGGAAACGGACCTCCTCAACAGCCTCTCCGACAGACTGCGAGCGGAGCTGTTCTTGCACTCCGCGCAGATGCTCATGCAGAAGTCGGATCTCTTCAAGCACCTGCCTCAGTTCGAGATAGCCACCATCGTATCCATGATGCGACTGGAGACTTTCGCGCCCGGGGACGTCATCTTCGAACCAGGTCAGAATGTCGAGACCGTCTTCTTCATCTCCTTCGGCTCGGTGGCCATCCTCAACAGGTCGGGGACGGAGCTGTGCCATATGGAAGACGGAGAGGTGTTCGGGTTGTGCTTAACGATGCTGAAGAAGAGGAACTACTTCGCCCTGGTCGTCGAGACCTCGGAGCTTTTCCTTATCAACGTGGCGGAACTGGACGAGTTCTTGAAGGCTTACCCTCAAGCGTCGCATTACATGAAATGTCTGGCGGTGGAGCGGTTCGCCTTTTACAGACAGATGGAGCAGAACATTAACAGCCACATGGATAGCTGTCTGGAGGAGTTGAAGAAAGGCGTGCTGTTGGAGAAAAAGCGCAGGAGGAAGGTCGTTCGGGAGTAGTTCGTGTTGTGTTTACGTTTGTAACTGTTGCCGTATTTTGTAAGCAAGTTTGAAGAATATCGATAAAAATGTTTATAATTATGCAAACCTGTTCAGGTCTAGATCTGTTTCTTCCAAGAAATAAATCAGGGCCTTTAGTCCTGGAAAAAAAGTATGACCGTACGGGAAATTAAATTTTGAATTGAGTTTCTTGTTCTTTAAACTCGATCAAAAATGACGAACTTGGTCAAAAAAAGTTCGCAAAGTTGCAAAAGACCGTTTTTCCAAAATAACTTTTAAAAATTTTAAACAAGAAAGTTGTAGGTTTTAAAAAGATCTATCGACTGATCTTTTGTAAGCATCAATTGCTTTGTTACTTTTCGAGACATATCGAAAAAGCCGTTAACAACTTTAGTCCAATCAATAGGTAGAAGAGCTTACAAAAAATACCACCTGGAAACAAAAAATATGGTGATATAGGAGAAACAATTCTAAGAAAGACAGTATAATTCGTACAGGGTGGTCCGTAAGTAATGGTCCATAGAGACATACTAGATTTTTTACTTCAAAATATTACGATTAGAGCCAACATGCCTTAATAAAATGTTGATAACAAAAAAGATACAGGGTGTCAAACTTGGAAATTAAAAATTGAATTTTCGTAATAATTCTAATATTTTTGAGTGTATGAACGTGAAAATTTAGGGGTAGATGTTTTTGTATACGAGAAATCATAATTTGTTATCTATTTCGATGTATCTTCTAGAGGGCGCCACATACGCCGTGTTTATGACGTAAATACGAGCATAATTTTTTTATCCACAACGTTAACGCTTCTTTTTTTTAAAAATCTTAAACCTACATTATTTTCGTGAAAAAATGGTATACTTGTCATTAGCTCTAGAAATTGTCCGTTTTCAAGAAAAACGCATTTCAACAATCTGCTGCATGTTTCATTACAGGAAATTTTATCGTAGTGTGCGCTAATGAAAACATTAATTTTGACAATTAAACATTATCCCTTTGTACACATTAAAATACAAATTATCAAGTTGATAAATTTTATTTACAAAACCAGTTAAAGGAGAAATTTAATTAAACAAAACTATGATTTTATCAAGCGTTTAACAAGTAAAAAACTGAATATGTACCTAAGGAAAAATAGGAAATGTTTCAAAGTAAATTTTCAATATGTCCACCATTCACCTCGATGCACTTGTCCATACGATTTATGAAAGATCGTCTAATATTAAATAATACCATTGGATCAAAAAAAGTTGAGGCATTACTAATTTCTTGCCAAAGTTGGACGCGAGTATTTATAGTGTTTTTATAAACAATTTCCTTCATTGTGCCCCATACACCAAAATCTAAAGGGTTGAAGTCTGGACTACGTGGCGGCCAAGGAAATATACTACCACGGCCAATCCAACGTTCAGGAAAGTGTTGGTTTAGATATGTTCTTACTTGATGAGTAAAATGTGGCGGAGCGCCATCTTGCATGAACCACATATTTTGCCTCAAATTCAGTGGTAACGCATCCAATAGATCAACAAAGCTATTTTCTAAAAAATTTAAATAACTTGTACCATTTAAATTTCCTGGCAACTCATATGGACCTAGAAAATGGTTTCCAATGATCCCACACCAAACATTAATCTTAAATTCATGTTGAAAGTGCCGTTCTCGAGTTACATGAGGATTTTGAACTTCCCAACAATGCTTATTTCTTAAATTGAAAATACCTCGGCGAGTAAATGTCGCTTCATCTGTAAACAATATTCTGTTGACAAATGTATAGTCAGTATTCTGCTTGTTCCGAATATCACTTGCAAATTGATATCTTGAAGGAAGATCGACAGGTAATAAATTTTGAACTGGTGTAAAATGATATGGATGATATTTTTCTTCATGTAATGTCTTTAAAATTGATGTTTTATTAATTCCCGTGGCTGCAGCTAATCGTCTTGAACTAGTTTGTGGATCATCTGCAATGCGAATTAGTATTTCGTCTTCCTGGTCAGGCGTAATCATTTTTGGTCGACCTAAATTATCACGTTTAGGACGAAATGAACCACTTTCGCCTAAGTTTCTGAATAGATTTTGAAACAGTCGTTTACCAGGTTGCAATCTGTTTGGAAATCTTCGGCAATATTCACGTTGCGCAGCACGTCCATTGAAATTTTGTTGACAATAAACAACCGTCATATCTCTCATTTCCAAATTCGAGAAATTATTATGTCTCGGCATAATTCGTTATTTTCTTTTAAATACTTAATTGATTTTTACCAAAAATTAATAAATACAATTTGAATTAATTGCTAACCGTCACAATGATTTTTTCTAATTGTCAAAACTGTCTTGGCATTGTCGCACACTACGATAAAATTTCCTGTAATGAAACATGCAGCAGATTGTTGAAATGCGTTTTTCTTGAAAACGGACAATTTCTAGAGCTAATGACAAGTATACCATTTTTTCACGAAAATAATGTAGGTTTAAGATTTAAAAAAAAAGAAGCGTTAACGTTGTGGATAAAAAAATTATACTCGTATTTACGTCATAAACACGGCGTATGTGGCGCCCTCTAGAAGATACATCGAAATAGATAACAAATTATGATTTCTCGTATACAAAAACATCTACCCCTAAATTTTCACGTTCATACACTCAAAAATATTATAATTATTACGAAAATTCAATTTTTAATTTCCAACTTTGACACCCTGTATCTTTTTTGTTATTAACATTTTATTAAGGCATATTGGCTCCAATTGTAATATTTTGGAGTAAAAAATCTAGTATGTCTCTATGGACCATTACTTACGGACCACCCTGTATATATCGTTCGCATTGTTCTTTGCTATAATCTCCAAGATTTTCAGGAAACCAATGCAGATGTGAATGAAGGAAATGCAACTTGTAATTCATAAAACATCCCAGATCTTGGAACGCTTTTATCATTTTTGATACAATTTCTTCGTATTTAGGACTCTTGTTGTTTCTGGCACAAATTGCACTTCCTTCATCCACATCTGGATTGGTTTCCTGAAAATTTTGGAGATTATAGCGAAGAACAAGGCGAAAGATGGGATGAAAACATGATGGCCGACTTTTGTTGGTGGTTAAAAAGAGAAACGAAAAATAGAGGGACTAAACGAAAGCGTAACCCTTTGCATAGATCCTTTGAAGAAAGGAGAACACGTTATAGCAACAAAAATAAGAATGATTTGTAGATATCGTTTTCTTTTGTTTAGAAAGTAGAGTATTCTAAAAGTTTTATTGCATTCTCAATCTTCTAGGCTGTTATCTCTCAGTACAAAAAGTAGATGGATAGATGGGTGGATGGGTGGGTCTGTTTTTGAATGAAATTGGACCGGCTTGTCTGACTCTATGATGATAAATTGGAATTAAACGAGTGAAAAATCATACGTCTAATGAGCTGGTAGAATAATTTGATTTTTTATAACTTTCGTCGATCATAAATGACGGTTTTTTTTGTGAATTCTGACCTGTTTTTTTAATTTTCCCGAAAACTCAGACCCGTTGGGCCAAATCTGAAGGCAGATTCGAATTCAGCGGAAATAATACATGGAACTACATGGGTCTGAATACCAGATCCGATACTTTTTTTTTGTGGGGCAAATACTCTAATCTTTCGTGTGTGGGAGGGGGCGGCATACCACTACAAATCTAAGAGATGTACAAGCTAAGCGCAAGGCAGTCTAATATTTATTTTTCCGAATCCGACCCGTCGTTTCCGTCGGTCCGTTTTTTTTTATTCGACGTTTCGGCGACAGCGACAGGGGACGCGGCCGTGCGCAAAAAAGGCAACAGACCGCGGAGACGTCATTGCCGAATCCGCACAATCCCGGCCCCCCCGCGGCGGCTACACAAACAAATAGCGAAAAATAAACTCATAGACATAAATAACAGATATGCGCTCGCCGGCCGGTCAGGATATTTCTCATCGGGTCGGTCAAGGTCAGTGCGTAGCCTTTATTGTCGGTGCGGGATCGAAATCGGCACGGCCGGGCATGTGCGATTGTTAATTTTCGTATTACGATTTAGCCAGTTTAGTCGAGGCAATAAAGCACTAAAAAGGCCAAAAGTTCGGAATTTTTTCCATAAAGACGGATCGAAATGCAGCCTCTTGCATTCTCTTCCAAAAATTTTTTGTAAAAAATGTGGCTACTTTGTGTTTCTGACAAACCGGAAATTGCATTGCTGCAGCCAAAAATGCATTCAAAAAATGCATTTTTTGAGACGCCTTTTGGAAGATTTCAAAACTTTGTAAATAAGAGTCAGAACTGGCCCAAATCGGGTACTCGGGGGTTTTCGAGGTCGCTGATCACGATTATGATGTTCAAATTGACCCCCCGAACACCTGGAGCTCAGGAACGCCGATGAACGTCATCTCCGTGGGACTCTACCAAAATTCACGAGGGGAAGGAGAGAAACTCGGCGCCCGGGGTTTTTTTGGGTCGCTGAATTCAAATATGCCATCGTCGAACACCCCCCGGACACCTGGTGCGCCCGAACCTGGACGTGGACGTCATCTCCGAGTCTCATTGCCTCGCCTAGTTAGAAATTGACAATTAAGTTTTCGAGATAGATGACGAATGACGCGCCAGAAAGAAATTTGAGTCATCGACGAAATACTGATAATGTTGATTATCGTTTTTAATTTATTATTTTTTTATCGGAAACGGAGAGAAATGGATTTTGAAGGAAAATAGGCCAGGAAAATAAGCTGGGAAATGACCATTTCGCGACTTTTTGTTTCGGCAAGCTGAATTTATCACTATAGATGTTAAATATTATGTACAATAACATATTAGTTTCCACAGTCATAAAAATGGGGGGAAGATTGTTTACAGGCTGGTTAATTGTATAATGTTTACGTAAATTCACGTTTTTCGCTTATAACTTTTTTTCGTTCATTTCCACGAGAAAACAGTAAAGTACTTTTTTTTCGTCTTCAAAAGACCTACAAAACTAGCTCTCGAGCGTCAAAAAAT